GTTGCTAAGAACCTCTCCAAAGTGCTGAAGAGTAAAGACATCAGTTTAAGACACCTGAGCTAAGCCATGACATTTCCTCCCCCTCCCCCCATTCACGGGAGGTTTATGCACCACCGCTGCTCCAGGACAGGTTGGCTCAGAGGAATTTCACTTCAATATGCTGTCACCCTGGGCTTCTGCCAGTTTTCTGGTGATCCACTTCAGTTCACCCTGCTGCTGCTTCTCTTCAGCTGCTTTTCTCCTTTCCTCTTCTGCCCACGGTTTCAGGTACCTGTAGTGCTTGGCTCCGTAGACCAAGCCGAGGAAGAGCGTGGGGGAGCAGGTGAGCTTGGTGAGTGGAGGGACTTGCACTGGGGCATCATCTTAAGCCATGACATTTTCAATTCTGCCTGTGCAAGCTGGACAATGAAGAAGGATGACCGAAGAATCAGCGTCTTTGAACTGTGGTGCTGGAGACGCGTTCTGAATATCCCATGGGCTACCAAAAGAACAAACTAGTCTGTCTCAGAGGAGGTACAGCCAGGGTGTTCAGGAGAGGCAAAGAGCGTGAAACTCTATCTCACATACTTTGGGCATGCTGCCAGGAGACGCCAGTCCTTGGAAAAAAGCATCATGTTGGGAAAGGTGGGGGGTCAGAGAAAGACAGGAAGACCCTCAACAAGATGGGTAACATAGTGACTATAGCAATTGGTTCAAACATGTGGGAGATCATGAATATGGGACAGAATAGGGGAAGGTTCCTAGCTGTTGTTTATAAGGTTGCTATGAGTCACAGTCGACTTGATGACACAGAACAACAACAGCACCTAGAAAATGACTAGAGTCAAGATGGGGCAGGACGGGGAACAGTTTCAATCTGTTGCTCACAGGGTCACTATGAGTCGAAGTCAACTCGACGGCACCTCACAATAAAAACAACATTTTGTAAATGTGAACCAAGGTACAGAGGGGTGAAGTGACTTGGTCGTAGTCACCTGGTGGTGATAAGCGGAACAAGAAGGGATCCTGACTGATAATTCTCCATAGCCCACAATACTCCCCTGTGATAGTGGGGAATCTTCTCAGTTGGCTCACTGCTCATTCTCCCGTGCCTGTAACAGTGCCTGACATATGAAGGTGCTCAATTAATGAAGTATGACTGAAGAAATGAGTCCATAAACTTTGGACAAGGAGGATACAAAGATGGTACTTGACTTCCAACAGCTCAAGGTCATAGGAATTTACAAAAGGCACATAACCTACACACATGGGAAATAGTGTTCATACTTTTCCCTAGGGACAGCTATATCCTGGCTTTTTTGTAGTCAGGCTGGCACTAGAAGATAATAGTGACAATGTAAATAGAACCAGACAGCGGTCAGGAGCATGGGCTCTGGGATAGATGGCCTAGCAAGAGTCTTCATTCTATCACATATTAGCTAGGTGACTTCAGATCACTGAGATAGTACCCTCATGTTCAAGACCCTATTGGAACAGATGAGGGGAAGAACTGTCCAAAAGGAATACATGATTAGGCATTATATATGTGATAACAGTCTGGAACAAAAAGGTGCCTTGCACAGCAGCCTGCAGGAAGGAGGAGGAAGAAAAAGTACAACAATGAACGAATTGGGGGGAAAAAGGAAACTTCTTTGGTCTTCGGTCTTCTCATTTTAAAGACAGGGATAGCAAATGATGCCAGTTTCACAAGGTTGTAGAGTTGCACATCAAAGATGCACAAAGAATAAGAAGGATAAGGAG